CGCTACAACGAATTCTCGGCTTCAAAGCCGCCGCATCCACCGAACTGGCAGCAACTCCCACTACCTTGGGGACTGAATGAACCCCAAAAGGGTTTAGGGTTTAGGGTAACTGAATGAACCCAAAAGGGTTTCTGGCCCATGTACCCTAGCACCTGTACCCTAACAGGGTTTAGGGTTTAGGGTCTAGGGATTCTCGTAGCTTGGGACGTATGATTCCAATTTTTTAAGGGTTCACCTGGTCCCCAACGTAAGTTGAGCTTTAGGTACACTGATTTGTCCTACCAAGCCGCGCCGGGCACAGGCCCACTACACAAAAGTTCTAAATGCACAAAAGTTCAGAGCTCTGGGTCAGTACAACGTCGGCATGAGGTTTATAAGGGTTTAGGGGTTTAGGGGTTTAGGGGTTTAGGGTTTAGGGGTTTAGGGTTTAGGATTTGATGCAAGAGGCATCGGGGAGGGGCTTTATGTAGTGGACTGTTGATGGCTGGGGTGGCTGGGGTGATGGATCACATGCTCTAGCCTCTAGCCTCTAGCCCACGGGTGAATTGGGCTGAGGCCTTTTTCGTGGCGACACTTCTGCTGGAGGCACCTTGGTGGCAGCTGCCTGACGCTGCCACTGACCACGAGCATAGTTGCAGCCCACCCAAGTGCGGCGATAGGCAGCCGGGAGAAACGGTCTTAGGGTAGTTACATGGTCCCTTAGTCTGAGCCCCTAAAATGGGACCTGTTGCGTTTTCTGTCCTATACAACTCAAGGGCCCGTACTTCAGAACCCAAGAGACCATGTTGAGGGAGCATAAAACTACCCTTAGAGGGTAGCGCACACAGCCTGAGAGACCTAAGTGACCTAAGTGCCTGCGATCGGCCGGTGGCTTGGACGATGGTCCATTCATGGTCAGCCGAAGCAAGCCAATGTTTAGAAACATCCAGAGAAGAAGGGCCAGACTCTCGACTACTGCGAGGCTTACGCCAGGTATTCAGAATTGAGTGGTTGAACACAGGCCATTGAGCATGAAATTCACAATGCTGCCACGCCCCCGTGCTCTCTCCAAATGCTTCTGCAATATTCACAGTGCCACGCAGCCGCGCAGCCTTCGCCCTGATGTGTGGCTCCTTGCCGCCTCTCTAGGGGTTATTACCTTGGGGACCCTCAAGGTTGAACCCTTGGTGTTTGGGGACCCTTTTGAAAGATTATTGAAGGCAAATATGGAGTGTAGTAAGTGGAACCTGGAGGGGTGCAACCTTAGGGGTGCGAGTCTGAATCCCTTGAGCCAGGGGGGGCCTCTCACTAACCCAAAGCCGGAAAACCTCATTCAGACACACCCCACACTTGGTCTGTGACTCGTACACTTACGTTTCCGAAATCCTTGACGATAACAAGGTGGTACTCTTGTTGGGGGGGTGTGGTGGGGGGTCCTCCAAAAAAGGTTTTTTTTGCCATTTTGGTGGTAGATTACGGGATCCTACTTTGGGATATGCCCAGTTCTGCTGCCGTTCCAAGCAGGGCGTCGCAAGTCCGGTACAACTACAGCACGTCAGTGGAGGGGGGTGGGGGGGGGGGGGTTTCGGGTTGTGCGGCGAGGTGGGAAGCTGGTCACGCCGCCACCTTGAATCGGGTAAGCTTAGTAGCAGAGTAGGTAACCTTTAACCTTTTAGGGGTAATGTAATCCTCTTATAATCTCAAATGTTAACCTTTAGTTTTCCTGGACCCGAATCCTAAACCCCAAACCCCAAACCCTAAACCCGCAGCCCTAAACCCTAAACACTAAACCCAAGGGCGCGCAGGTGCCACACATTCTCCATGGCTCCATGGGCTCTTACTTGCTCCCCTTGCTGTGTTGCTTCGCCGCTTCCAGGTCGTCGACCTTCTCTTCGGCAGCCTTCACCTGAAGGAAGGGTTTAGGGTTTAGGGTTTAGGGTTTAGGGTTTAGGGTTTAGGGTTTAGGGTTTAGGGTTTAGGGTTTAGGGCTTAGGGCTTAGGGCTTAGGGCTTAGGGTCTAGGGTTTAGGGTTTAGGCTTTAGCTCTAGGGTTTAGATGGCTTCCAACGTTCAGGGTTTAGGAAATGCACCGACGCACTGGCAGCAAAGAAGAAGAACGCACGTTCCGCGCTCGCCTTGGCCTGCTGCTGCTGGATGGCTTGATCCTGCAAGCTTTTCGGGTTTAGGGTTTAGGGTTAGGGTTTAGGGTTTAGGGGTTTAGGGGTTTAGGGGTTTAGGGTTTAGGGTTTAGGGGTTTAGGGAACAGCCGTAAAGACCTTGCCAAGAACCCTTGATGAACGAACATGCTGTACTTTCATAAGAAGGACCGCGATATTCCTCAATTAAAGATCTTCTGGGCTCCCTACAGTTCTCGCCCCTTCAACTTTCCACCCATCAAGGCGTCTTTACGAATGCAGACCAATTAACTTGGAGACGCCATGGTTGGTGGATTCAAGTGGGTTCAGAAGTACCCCTTTCGATGATGGAACCCTGAACCGTAAAAAACCGTGTTTGAAGCTGGGTTTAGGGTTTGGGGTTTAGGGTTGAAGGCTCACGGGTGGTTGCAGATAAGGGTAACCACAAGCATGACTGGCCATAACCTTGCTTGGGATATTTGCCCTAAACCCTAAACCCTAAACCCTAAACCCCAGGCCCTAAACCCTAAACCCTAAACAGGTATTGGTTAGAATTTGAGGCCCACGGGCTCTTGGAGCACTGATGAAGTGGCTTGAGTGATCCGGACCAACAGGGCTCAGGAGACTTTTAGGGTTAAGGGTGTAGGGCCTATAAAGTCTCGAAGGCTTCACGTCATAGTTTAGGGTCTGGACTTAGGGTTTGGTGTTTCAGGCTTGGGGCTTAGGAACCCTAAACCCTGAACCCGCTTTGGGGCTTCAGGTTTAGGGTGCGTATTCCTCTCGCCGAATCTCGGCCAGTCCTCCTTGAGCGCATCCATGGCCAGCTTGGCTTGCACCTCTACTGTAGGGGGGGTGTTAGGGTACTTTAGGGTTTAGGGTTTAGGGTCAGGGGCCGTATGCCGTATTCATTAGAATAGCGTTTTGGGGGGCTGTGTCTTTTGTATAAAATATAAAAAGGGACCATAAGGGAATACTGCTAGGCATTTTTCCGACCCCTATATTGCACTCTACAAGTGGTGCCCCCAAGCCCCCAGGTCCGGGCAAAGTCTGTTGTCATGGTCTCTGGTCATTCGCCATGAGGCTTTGGTTTTAGTTTAGGGTTGAGGGTTTAGGGTTTAGGGTTTAGGGTTTAGGGTTTAGGGTTTAGTGCGTATGCGTTTTTGTGTGCCACCAGCTTGTACGAATCAGGATATGGAGTCCTTTCAAGACTTCAGGGAACAAACTCTGAACCACCAAGCCTATTAACCCCTAAGATCCTGAACCCTAGACACTAAACCCCTACATCCTAGGCTCCACCCTAAACCCTAAACCCTAAGCCCTAAACCCTAAGCTTCGAAACCAAAAGCCCGCCTCAGCATCCAGCGCCGCCTGTCGCAGGTGATCTTTCCTGCGGCTGTTTTGGGGTGTAGGGTTTAGGGTTTAGGGCTTAGGGTTTAGGGTTTTGGGTTTAGGGGTGTAGGGTTTAAGGGATTGAGGGTCATGGAGTGCCAGGCTTCGAACCTCAAAGCCGCTGAAGAAGGAAAGGGCGCCGGCGGCTTCGGGGTGCGTTCGGGGGACCTACGTGGAGGTTTTTAGGGTTTAGGGTTTAGGGTACTTGCAAGCAAGGTTATCAGTAGGGAAACGATTCTTGTGACCATATGTAGGGCACTTGTGAGGCTACTTTTAAGTAACTTTTGGTTTGGGGGGAGGGGGGGGAACCCTAAACCCTAAACCCTACAATCTAAATAACCCCAAACCCCAAAACCTTCTTTGTTTGAGGTTTGGGGGGTTTCTGGTGGCTGCGATGCCAAGTTTTGGGGTTTCGGCCTTGGGTTCGTTGGTTTCGCAAGGTTCTTTGCCTTGCGGGTGCCCTCCTTCGTTAGGGGTGCAGGGTTTCAGGGGTGTAGGGTTTAAGGATATAGGGTGAAGGCGGCACCGGGGATCCAGAAGCTCAGGGCCTGGGTTGTTGGTTAGTGAGCTGTTAGATGCCTTTAATACGGTTTATGCTTTAGGGTTTAGGGTTTGGGGTTTAGGGTTCTTCTTGCTGCCCAGCTGCTTCTTCTGAGATCGGGATTCTGCCTCGTTCCTCGGCAAGAAAAAAAGAGCCCTCATAAAGTGAATCCTAAACCCTAAACCCTAAGCCCTAAACCCAAAACCCTAAACTTAAACCCTAAAAAGATGCCGCGTCCACTGTGGCACCCACAGCATTTGCAGAAGCGGATTCTACATGAACACAAGAGCACCTCCGACTCCTCAACAACTAGAAGTCACGAATCGCTCAAACACGCCATGAACTATTCACAACCGTAGTGATAGCCATACTAATGGTAACCTGTCCAGAATGCCGAGTCGATGCCAAAATCCCCCGGTGCCATCCCTACTCGCCCCTAAACCCTAAACCCTAAACCCTAAACCCTAAACCCTAAACCCGAAACCCTAAACCCTAAACCCTAAACCCTAAAAGTTGAAAATGATCTCCAAACGGTGAGCAACCTGGGGGCCCAGCTCCTTTTGCGACAGGCGCGCCAGCTCCTCCACGCGCTCCGTCTTCCTCTCCTCCTCGCAGAAGCCAGGAGAATGAGAATATTATATATATATATCAATATATATATATATATACATGGTAGCATATATATAGATATATGTACACCGGGGTTCAAAGAGCCAAATTCACAAACTGGGATTCTCATGATGCTCTACTGTGCTGAGGGTCAGAAGACCTAGGGTTTAGGGCGGCTTGTGGGCACGAGTGAGGCAGAACACCAATGTTCATTGGCAGCGTCAAGGGCACAACCTCAAGCCCCACACGCCGACGCACATCTCCTGTCCCACTGAGAAAGCACAGCCCGCAACACAACTTTTTACATTGAAAGGCATTGGCAATCGGCCAGCGGCTAGTCTGTCGGTTTCAAAATGCCTGCAAAGCCCAGGCCTGTAGCAAGCCGATGAGAACGCCTAAAACACCACCCACCACCAACAGAATCCACTCATCATCTTGAAAGATTGGATGAATGATGCTTTCAAACTCAGGCGGCGAAATGCGCGAAAGGCGCCACGTAAGAGTCTCCTGCACTTTCATGGTTCTGTCCATGTAGTCTTCAATCGCCCTCGAATGCTGTGGTAATAGCTCCAACGAAAAGTCAATCACATCTTGTTTCATCTCGTTAATTTGCGAACCCAGTGTAGCCGGGGCAACCATTGCCATGTTTTTGGCTATGCCCATGCTCTTGTCGACGGAGCGGCCAACATGGCTTCGATAAATGTCTAAAACCTTCTCCACTCCTGTGGACGACGGAGATCGCAACATGTAGTTGAGCATTGCTCTCGCGTCCACTACGTTCCTGCAGATCAGCTCTGCCATCTTCTGCGATGCCTCGCGTTGGCGTTTCAAGAAGACCCCCTGCACAATGACTCTGCCATTGCAGTACTGGTGCGGCCATACTGGACGAAAAGTCATCTTCAGCGCCAACAAGTTCGTAAAATACCCAATGATCAGCCCAGACACAGGTAGCATGACGTAGTCCATTCCCGGGTAGTCTTTCAACATGACGTAGAAAACTACCTGAACTAACCCCAGGACGAAGCCCATCACTGCTGCGACGCGTTGGATGAAGACTAGCTCCTTCAACGCCACAGATCTGAACATATCTACCATCATACGTGGGTTGTTGACGAAGGTCTCAACAGCCATCGCTTGCAAATCGAGAATAGAACTGATGTTCGTCTTTAAGTCCACCATGGCCTGTCCAAAGCTCTGCTTGGTGTCCTCGAGTACTTTTAGCTTCAGCTCGTGCTGGACAGAGCTGGGAAGGGCACTCCAGACGGTCGGCAAACGTTTCAGCATGATTTTTTCCAATACCTGAAAGCAAAGGCCACCCATGAGATCCTCTAAAGCATCGAAGAAGTGCTGGGGCTCAATCCGGTCCATGAACTCCTCGACTGTGACGATGTTTCCAATCATCCGTGCGCAAGCTCGTCGTGCCATGACATCGGCTTTTCGTGGCACAATGCCCTGCCATCCATTTATGGGAAGCCCAAGCCAGGTAGGAACAATAGGGTGTCGAGGGCATCCGACGAACTGTATCGGAAAGAACATCATCTGCAAGGCCAGCCAGACATGAAACCACGTGAAAAGAAGACAAACCAGAGGCACGGAAAGCAGCTTGATGAGCGGAATCAATTCAGCAGGTAGACCACTTGGGCTCTTCTTGGCCATGCTATCGTCAGCCAGCTGGACCCATGCTACGCCTATCCAAACTGCAGTCCCTGCAAACACCACGAATATGAATGCATTGAAAGCCTGCGCTCTGATGCACTCGACGAGCGGCGGATAGGCTACACGTGCCGGGGGCTCGTAACCAAAGCGCTCTGCTGAACTGCCCTGGGGTTGTGAGGTCAGCTGGACCCGAAGCGATCTACTGCTCGTGTCCCTCGAGTCAAGCATGGTTGCCATCAGCCGCCCTTCTCTAAGGTCATACTCTCGTGCTCGCCTCGCTGGCGTAGTGTGATGGGATATCTAAAAATAGTACAATTAACGTATTACTACAATCATATGATTCATATGATGCATATACCATAACAGAATATAATTGCATTATAGGATAATAGCAATGATATGTGAACGGAAATGTCTTCTTTTTTCGCTGAAATCTGTGAAGCACACTCCCGAACCACATACTTGAGCCCAAGCGCGTGGCCATTTGGGCTTAGGGCTTTATATTCGTCTGCTTATGCTTTTACTTTACTATACTTTACTACTATATATTCATATATTATGATGTGGTTGTACTACTATGCGATATCAACCTCAACCTTAGGCCTTCCTCTTGTGATTCTGGGAGATATGTCAGCCATTCCACGGCCACTCGCTGTTGTGGTGATCATTTATGATCTAGAAAAGTTGGTCTGTTCAGAGGGCTTCGGACAGTAGGTTCGTCTGGTGCACCTGACGCCCTTGAGGTGTTGCGAACGCTGGATTGAAGTGGCACGACTACCATGCACACGAGAGCGAAATAAGCAGGCTTCATCACGCAGCCAGCACAATCAGAAGGAAAAGGCCTCGAGCCCTAAGAGGGTGGATGTTCTAGATCAGGGTCCCGGCCCAGGATGATAATGACAGATCGTTAGTATGATCACTCCTTGTTATGACTACAATGATAAGCTGCTATGGGTCACTGTCCGTGTCGCTATCAGCATAACTACCTTCATGGCTATGACCCTCGCCCTAAACCCTAAACCCTAAACCCTAAACCCTCAACCCTAAACCGCCACTGATGTTTCAAGTGCAAGCATTTTGGATTTGCTTCTGTTGCTGCCGGCCGCTCCTCCTCCAGGTCGGCCAGCTTGTTGAGATCATCCTTCAACCTTGGTGTAAGAACAGCTCCTAAAAGAAATGATTATATTGGGGGGTACAGTCCTTAAAGCTCCTTTTAAATTTTACAAAGGGATTATAAATAAGGGGGTACTATAGTCCCTAACAGTCCTGAAAAGGGATTATAGATTGTAAATAGGGGGTGGTGCTATAGTCCCTAACAGTCCTTAAAGGGGATTATAAATTAAAAAATAGGGTGTACTAGAATGAATCCCTAACAGTCCTTAAAAAAGGGATTAAATAGGGGGTACTAGAATCCCTAACAGTTAATAAAAAGGGGGTACTATGATGCCTAAATTAAGGACTGCTAGTACAAGGGGGAACATGCCAACTTCAACTTTTCCTTGGAGCAGCTAGGGCCACAGGAATCAGAGCCGGAGAAATGGCTTGCTCTTGGATTCAGGGGCTGGAGCCTATAGCCGGAGCTGACCGTCTGCAAATTTATGTCAATCAGGTTGGAGGATCACAAAGTTGCAAGATTCAAGCTCATCGGGCCACAAGGGGTCGATGTAAAGAAACGCCTGAACACAAGCAGGACCTTGGGACGTTCCCCCTTGATAAACATGGGGGGGTACTATAATCCCTACTAAGGACTGTTAGTATCAGGGGGAGCATCCCAAGCAGCACCCGATATGAGGCGCCAGCTCTTTCTGGGCAGACCTTGGTGCAATGGCACGAGTGGTGGGGGCTCTCGACAGTTCAGGGGGGGCGGGGGGGGAGGGTTCCGTTTTGTTCTTTTGGGTGCCTCTTTTAAGTGGGATGACGCTATGTCGGAAGTAAACAAAACCTGTAAAACCTTTGATTTGCATCCGGGCAACTAAAAAAAACAACAAAGACCCCATAAACCCCATAAACCCCATAAACCCCACAAACCCCAACCCAGTAAACCCTACAAACCCTATAAACCCTGTGTAAACCATATAAAGCCCATATCAACCCTGTAAACCATAGAAACCCCCATGATAAACCCTATGAACCCTGTGGACCCTATAACCCCTATAAGCACTATAAATCCCATAATCAACCCTATAAACCCTATAAATCCCATAAACCCTAAAACCTATAAACCAAAAAAAAAAAAAAACAAGGCGGATCCGAGCTTCTCAAATCCGAGTTGCTTGAGCGCAGACTGGTGCTTGGCTGGCGTCGCTGCACCACCGGCCTTGGCACCTCGCACAGGTCCAACCTCCTCTAGACATTACCCTACGATTTGCTTAAGAACCCCAAAAGAACTCAACAAAAACATTTAACCCCTATACTACCCCTATAAGGAAGAATATTTTGTAATGTTTGGGGGTGTTCAGCAAAACCTTAAACCCTAGGCCCTGAGAGACCTTCTTCTGTACCCAGAGTCACTTCCGAACCCTTTGTTGGGTAGAGTCTTGCTCAGTTGCGCAATGCCACATCCCAAGAGGCAGCAAGTCCCCGAAGGCTGTGCCAAGCATTCCCATGTAATGTGTTATAACAAAAAGTACGATCTGCATTCATACCGCCTAACATAACATAACAGAAAAAACATATAACATACCATAATATAACATGACATACCATAACACAAGGGAAGATAATGTAATATACTATAATACATGAGGGGGGCAAGGACTGTATTTGGCTCACAGCACAAGGTGCCAACGGGTGTGTGTGTGTGTGTGTGTCTACTGTGTGTCTGTGTGTCTGTGTGTCTGTGTGTGTGTGTGTGCGCCGACTGGCGACTGCTGCTTTCTTGGCGTTTTGGGAGGCTTCAACCACCCCTAAACCCTAAACCCTAAACCCTAAACCCTAAACCCTAAAAGGCCTTTCAGTCGTGTCTGGATGGGCTTACAACATCACCTGCGGCTCCTGGTGCTACCACTCCGTCTTGCGCAAAGCAGTCTTGCCAACAGCAGAAGTGACTATTTGCAACTTAGTTGTCCAGTACCCAGGGGAACTAAAGGTTAACCTTTGAGATAAAAAGGGGATTACATTACACCGGAAAAGGTTCAAGGCTACCTACTCTACTACTAAGGCAATGCAAGCTTGCTGGCAAGGCACCGCCATGGTGTGAATCGGCCGGCTTCCTAAGGGGAGTGGCGCCAGTGGCACAGTCGAACGTGGAGCGGCTAAACGACTTCTCCCGACACTCGAGATAATCCAAAACCCTGGCGAGAGCAGAGCAAAATCACTGAAACCGCAAGCACTTTAAGTTCAACCCCAAGCTCCCTAAAATTTCCCCCGGCAACCCTGCGGATTTAGAAGCGTACTTGCGGACATGCTGACACACGCGCATACTGCACATACGCGTGCATATACTTGCGCGTGTGTCTCGTATAGTCATGCTTACGCAAAACGCAGGCTGCTGCAACAAAAGTATGCATCTTGACTGCCTGCACGCATGCATGACTGCATAGTGCGGCGGCGCGGCTTTGTGCATGTAAGAATGTGCGCCCATATGCATGTGGCAGGTCTATTCGTGTTCATACATGCTCTGCAAGTGAATTGCAGCCCTACACCCTGAGTTGCAGACGGAAACCCTCATGAAACAACTCAAAACCCTAAGTTCTACGCATCCCCAGGCCTACGTGCCAAGGCCATTGCGGACTGGGCACGGCTGCTTGGCTGGAATGGGTTTCTCCGGCTCTTCTTCATGACCTGAACACCACGAAAAAACTCTTACACGCAAACACGCAAGACCCTAAAAACCCCTAAGCCCTAAACCCTAAACCCTAAACCCCGCCAAAAAAGCGACTACCCTGACTTCCAGGCTGAGGCCATTGCTCTTGGTCTTGGGCGGAGCTGTTGGGCCGTGCTCGTGCTCCTCTGCAAAGAACTCGTTTTAGGGTTTAGGGTTTAGGGTTTAGGGTTTAGGGTTTAGGGTTTAGGGCGTGAGGAGGCAAAGTTTATTGCGAAGCTCGTCGGGGTTGGGGCAGCTAAACTTACCACGGCATTCTAGTTGCCGTACTTCCGGCATTGACGGGCCTTCCTCCCCGGGTCCCCACAAACCCTCCACGAGGCCTCCCAAACCCTCTCTTTGGTGCGAGCTTCACACCTATAGAGGCGCACCAGGTGCACTGTTATTCTGTGGTAACTCTCGTGCGGAACTGTGCGGGGGCCATCTATCACAAGACCCTGCGACCGCAATTGCAAAAGGCAAAGGGGCAACGCATTGGGAATGGCCGGAAGCGACATGAGAACAAATGGTGCGGGTACCCAAGCTCACACTACAGCTCCTGCGACAAACCCCAAAACACCACAAACAGCACCCATGCAGACTTTGCTGACGTGTTTTTCATGACACCACGAACATGCAAGAAATTTCTCGAAACCCCCAGAACAACCCAAACACCACGTCAGTGGCTTTAGCTGTTCGCAGGCTGCCAGTACTGCCAGTCTCATACCAAAGGCTTAAAGTTGAGGCAGATGAAGACGATCCACGGATGGGACCTTCCGCACAATCTTAGAGTAGCTCCATGGTCCGTCAACATGGGGCCGAATTTGCCCCTTATATACCCTATAATAGGGTTTAGGGTTTAGGGTTTAGGGTTTAGGGTGTAGGGTATAAAACACCCCTAAGATACTGGCATGTTGGCTTTAAGGCTCGGCACGCTCGGTCCGCCAGTAACCAATGGCGGGCCAAACGGTCTACGAAACCCTTTTTTGCATCCGGGCTTGGTTCGTCGGCCGGGAAAGACGCCCTAACTGTTCTATGAAACCCTAAACCCTAAACGCATACATCCAGAAGCCTCAAACTCAATGACTTACTGTTTCTCGGCGGGGAAATGAAGGGGTTTAGGTGCCCAAAAAGAGGTGTGGGTTGAAGATGCCCGAAATAGTCCCTAAAGCCATCTTAGGCCGCGATTCCTTATTATGGGCGTTTCCGAAATTCAGGGTGTACCTTTACAGGGGCCCTTACTGTAAGAGAATCTTGCTATTTGGGGATCTAACACCCTACACCCTATACCCTAAACCCTAAACCCTAAACCCTAAACCTAACCCCCAAACCCTAATTTATAAACCCGTATTTTCGGAAAACCCCCATATAAAGAACTCGAACGCGCATCCGGGTCCTTGGTAGTAGGTGCTGATGGCACGTCGGTGTGCTGTCCAGGGAGTCGGTAGGGTTGAGGGTTGAGGGTTGAGGGTTGAGGGTTGAGGGTTTAGGGCTAGGGCTTAGGGCGGGGATGTAGGGTTTAGGGCTTCTAAGGGCCTTTCAGGGCTCCAGGCGCCTCTTCGGGCCACCTGTCGAGCCGACCTCGAATTAGGGTCCTTGTTGGGGTCCCCAGCTTAATGCGGCATTTTGAAAGGGGCCCTACAGTACAGAACTACCCATTTGGGACAAGTTGCCATGTGGAAACAGGAGGCCTCTGAGATTCACAGCTACCATGATGTGGTTGTTGAAGCTGCCCTGTAGATCCCTTTTGCATCTGGGAGTTCTGCTGCTGCACTTTGCCAGCGTTCCCTCAGCCCGAACCCTGCATCTTGACTCGTTGTCGATCTTCAACGACTCTTGACGGGCTTCGGGCACCGACTCGACGTCTGAAATTACTCAACTTTAAGCCGTACGTGTTCCTTGTCATTCCACAAGATGCAAGAAGTTCCCAGGTTCATGACGAGGATGATCCAGGTGCCGAAGGCACCGGCAAAGTATCGGCCCAATGGGTCGGGGATGACGAGGCCCACTGCAGCCACCCACACCACAGTCACAAGAGGGGTGAAGAGGATGAACCATCTAGGAAACTTCGTGTGCCCTGTGGCGACAACACACGCGATCCAGAAAGAGGCGACTACAACCGCTAGAGGACCCGGTGTGTAGCCGAACATGTAGGCCTCCATCAGCTTGGCTTGCGCAACCTGCATGCAATCAGTGCACGCGGAAGAGCCTGCCATTGGCTTCCCCTCCGTTGTTGTGAGGTGGGGGGTATGGAGGACCTGGGGGAGGATGGTGGCAAAACCGAACCCGGAGTGTAGCGCCCCACCGACCACGCACAGCCCGTAGGCCAGCACCGCACAGGGCGCGGAGCTGCACCACCAACCGGCCCGATGGAGCCCCGTGTAGAGCGGATACGCCGTCGCAAAAGCCCACACAGGATACATCCACCCGCCAGCTTGAGCAAGTTGCAGGGGCCATGCCTCGTTGAAGTTGAAGAGGTTGCCCGGGCGCGAGACGCGGTCGATCGTCCCAAATCCTTCAAAGGTCATGTGCGCGAGATAAAAATCGATGTAGCAGAGATCGCCGAAAATGTTCCACGCACTGCAGAGCAGTGCCACCAAACCACACTGTTGCACCTGCGTCCAAGCCATTGCTGCAACACGGTGCGGAGTGAGCTGTGGGTGCAGGAGTGCCGCCAAGGATGCAGACAGCCCAGGATGCAGATGAGTGCGCAGACACCTTGCTAATTCCTCGGGCTTCCTTGATTCTGAAGCTCTAGAATCTGGTGAAGGCTTACAAGAGGGTTGTAAACTAGTCTGCGATTCCAAGCAAGAGTACGTTCAGTTCAGGGCCGCGCTGTCATGGCAAAACTTCGGCAGCGACGTCACAGCGGCCAGTACTCTTCAGCATGAACTGACTGTGCCGAGCGCTTTATACCCTATAGGCCTGAACCCAACCCTGAACCCTGAACCCTAAACCCTCAACCCTAAACCCTAAATCTTGATTACAGGATGCAGCTAGGGCTTCCGCCAGCACACCACGCAAGGGCAAACATGCTCACTAACCCATCATTGAATCAAGGGGTCATCCACATCGCTGTGGCAGATCCCTTAAACCCTATGATGAACCCAAAACCCAAAACCCTAAATACCCTAAACCCTAAACCCTACCATCGACAACTCCGGCGAAGCGGCGGTTCAGGCGCTAAACCTTGTCTCTCACTCGCACTCAAGTGTCCTGTCAGGCGAGTTCGGCCCTAAACCCCCCTAAACCCTAAACCTCATGCACTCCACCACCACACCGAGAGGGTGAGCAGCTTGCTGGTATGTAGCCCAGAAACAGGGCTTGCAGGCTTAAGGTTGCAACTCCCAACCTTGGAAGGGTTTAGGGTTTAGGGTGTACATCCCCTGGAGTCCCGGTTCCAACATCGTGTAGACCCAAATAAGGGCAGACAAGGGTCTAGGGTTTAGGGTTTAGGGTTTAGGGTTTAGGGCCCTGTGCCTCCTTGTGTGTTTCCTTGTGATGGTGCTCGGTCGGGTGAAGCGGTGCGTAGGCGCCGTGGCTTTCCTCTCACGGCAGGGCGCTATGAACCAAGGCTTGGCTAGAAGTGGCCGCGCCGGCAAAGAGCTCACTACGACTCTGTGTTTGCACTGGCGTCAACACAGAGGAAGCTCGTCTGTCGGTCAGCTCATCTTGGCAACCTTCCTCCTTAACTAGGCCGAACACTGACGCAAACAAGAGCAACCAGAGCCCCCCTAAACCCTAAACCCTAAACCCTAAACCCTAAACCCTAAACCCTAAGCCCTAAGCCCTAAACCCTAAACCCTGCGCAGCCATGGAACGCAAGTCGCTGGTGGCTCTCACGCCATTCTTCCCTATTAAGGGTAATATTATATAGGGAGTAATATTTGTTATTCCCTAAACCCTAAACCCTAAACCCTAAACCCTAAACCCTAAACCCTAAACCCTAAACCCTAAACCTCCCTTTGGGGTTCTTAAGCAAATAGTAGATCTCACTGGCCCTCTCGGAGCATCCCCGGGTCCTTCGGACTCTTGGTGACGGTGGCCTCCTGGTGCTCTCTTTATCGCCGGGCTGTTCTTTTGGGGGGTTTAGGGTTTAGGGTTTAGGGTTTAGGGTTTAGGGTTTAGGGTTTAGGGTTTAGGGCACTGAGACGTCCACTGCCATCCCCCCCAGCTACCAGGGATTCAGCTCCAAACCATGAACAAAGACCCCACCCCGTAACCCTAAACCCTGAACCCTATAAACCCTAAACCCTAAACCCTAAACCCTAAACCCTAAACCCTAAACCCTAAACCCTCCCCCCCCCACCCCTGAAGGCCTTGTCATCGTACTTGTCGTCCGTGACCATCTTGTGACTGCTGTTGACCTCGCAAGGGCGGTTTTCGGGTTTCAGGGGTTCAGGGGTTTAGGGGTTTAGGGTTTAGGGTTTAGGGTTTAGCGTTTAGGGTTTAGGGTTTAGGGTTTAGGGTTAGGGTTCCTCCCCTTTGGTTGCTGACGAACCCCCCCCAAAAACATGAGAGATATTCCTCCCATCTTGCCGTTCTGAACAAGAATAATTGTTGTTTTTTGGAGGGTTCTTAAGCCAAGAATGGAGAAGCAGTGTCTTGGATGAGTGCGGGGAGGAGAGGCACCTAATCTCACAGAATTCCCCAGACCAGCTCAGTTCATCCGAACAGGGTTTCGGACGTTCAGGGGGCTTCCTTTACTAAATATAGGGCCTTGCCTGCTGCAAGCAAGTTGTACTGTCCACTATGGCGCTAAGTCCTAAAACCTGAACCTGAACCCTATAAACCCGACAAGCCCGAAACCCTAAACCTACTTCTTCTTGTACGTTCTGACAGGCCTCCAGCCTAAACCCTAAACCCTAAACCCTAAACCCTAAACCCTAAACTACCGCCAAAAAGCCGCTCCCAGAGTTCTTGAAGTCGGTGGGGGGGAGAGGGGGAGGCGGGGGGGGCCAATAAACCCCCTATAAACCCTCAACCCGGGGTTTAGGGTTTAGGGTTTAGGGTTTAGGGTTTAGGGTTTAGGGTTTAGGGTTTAGGGAACACTTGATAGCCCAGTATTTGGGTTGGTTTCTGTTGAAGGGAACCTTGAAGCAACAAAAAGGGCAAAGGGTGCCAGCTTTCCGGACTTCCACGTCGCAAAGCCCAAAGGATCCATGTACCTATATCGTATATACTTGGGCCTTAAAGGGGTTGCTATATAGCTTTAGGGCCCAAGAATATACTATATAGGTACATGGATCCTTTGGGAAGTAGCCTTCTTCTAGCGCAGGTTTGGCCCCACCTGCGCCCTGGAAAGGTTTCCTTGAGCTTAGACGCGGCGCGTTTTAAGCACAGGTGGCTTCCGGAGCGGCATTTCGGACGCTAAACCCTAAACCCTAAACCCTAAACCCTAAACCCTAAACCCTAAGCCCTAAACCCTAAACCCTAAACCCTAAACCCGAGGGAGGGGGCCGGGAAGGAGGGTGGCAGGTCGAAGCGCCAAAGGCCCCCCATGCCTTGACGGTGACGAAGCCCAGCCTTTGTGGCAGAAAGCATCAGGGGGTTTAGGGTTTAGGGTTTAGGGTTTAGGGTTTAGGGTTTAGGGTTTAGGGTTTAGGGTTTAGGGTTTAGGGTTTAGGGTTTAGGGTTTAGGGTCTCCAGCTCAGGGCTTAAAGAAAAACAAAACACGTCGCCACCCCCCCCCCCCCCCAAAAAAAAAAACCAACTGGTGGCAAAGCTTGTGGGAGAAGGATGGCATGGTTCTAGCCCCATGAAAAATATTTAACCCTATCCCCCCCCCCCCCCCGCCCCACAACAGTAGAAACCCTAGAGGCCTGAAAACTACCTTAAGCTAGTACCCTGAACCCTAATACTCTAAAGCCTTTTTAAACCCTTTTCAGCCCTAAACCCCCGGCGCCCGGAAGCGTCCGAAACCCTAAACCCTGAACCCTTATAACCCTCATGCCCTACTGCCCGATGCCCTCAACCCTCATGCCCTAAACCTTTGTGCACCCTAGGCCCCAAACCCTCAACCCTAAAACCCTAAACCCCCAAGCAAACCCCTGAACCCTGAAAAAGCCCTTATAAACCCCTATAAACCCTACACCCTAAACCCGAAACCCTTGACCCTGAACCGGAATTCTTAAACACTAACCCACAAAACCCAAAACCCAAAACCCTAAACCCCCAAAACCCTAAACCCTAAACCCTAAACCCCAAAACCCCGGGCGCCAGGAAGCATCAAGCTCCCCGTCGCGATGACCGCGGCGCACATCATCACCCAGCGCAAGGCCGCGCTGCGCAGGGCCTTCTCGCATGTGCCTGGGTGTGGCGTTTATAGGCTTTAGGGTTTAGGGTTTAGGGTTTAGGGGCTTTCTGGGGGTTGTGGGGTTTCGGGGGTATTAGTTAGCGGGTTTAGGGTTTAGTGTTTTTTTTCTAGAGCATGTGTCTCAAGGGTTTCTTGTGGGGGGGGGGGGGGGGGTATAGGGTTTAGGGTTCAGGGTAGTATAGAGCTGGGTTATGGGGTTATAGGGCTTAGGGTTTTAAGGTTTAGGGTTCTAGGGCTCGGGGCGTCGGAGGGCGTCAGCGGCTTGCTCTTGCGTTGCACACGGTGGCCCGACCCCCCAAAACTCAAAGGAAGCGGGTACATGCAGCTTCCGGGATTCAAAAGCTCTCTGTTCCTAAACCCGAAACCCGAAACCCGAAACCCGAAACCCTAAACCCTAAACCCTAAACTGCTGGGGGGGGGCCATGGCTGTGAAGCAGGGGAATGGGCGCTTCTGTCCGCAGCCAAGAAGCACTCCTCGTACTTGGCCCGGAGGTCTGCATCCTGTCGGAAAACATATCGCCGAATTTTTTTTAGCAGAATAGCAGGAGTAAAAAATGCAAGAGCATAGTAGAATGATGGAAGAAGATAACAATCTGGTTTAAGGTTTTTGGGGTTTAGGATTCAGGGTTCAGGGGCATAACAAATGGAAAGATATCACATGAACAGCACGCAGGGTTTCGGGCTCCGGGGTGGATGGCGACTGGATCTTGAGCCTGGGATTCTGAACCCTTCGGCGCATGATCCCGTCGGGAACGCCTAACCCCTAAACCCTAACCCTAAACCCACAACCCAAAACCCTAAACCCTAACCCTAAACCCTAAACCCTTTACCCTTTTTTGCTGAACCCTAAACCGCAAACCCTTTTTTCCTTAACCCGAAACCCTGAAGTAGGGGAGTCCCTCCCAGGACCTTGGAAGATGTGCTGGGCCAAAGGCACCCCCCCCAACTAAGAACCGGTAGGGTGCAGGGTTTAGGGTTTAGGGTTTAGGGTTTAAGGGTTTTAGGTGTTTAAGGGTTCAAGGGCAAGGGTTAAGGGTCCGCATTATGAGTTTGTCAAGGGAACCTCTGCGTCCT